CTGCAGTAATCCATTAGGCGCTGCCGGGCTACGCGCACTGGGGGCGGCAGGGATCCGCTCATGTTGGAGAAGGAGTCGCCTCGGAACCGCGCGGCTGCAGTCACCCGGAGCAGGCCGGCTGCTCCTGGCGGGCGGTGTCCGCGCCGGCGGGGGCCTCGGCGCCCAGGGCTCCTTCCGGGCTCTCCCGCCCGCCGGGCTCCCCACCGGCTCCGGAGGCGGCAGCGGCGCGGCCCGAGCTAAGCGGCGATGGGGCCACGTTGGGCGCCGGGCGGGAGCGGAGGCCGCCGCGGACCCCGCAATCCCGCAGCCGGCGACTGGATCCCACCTCTGCAGAGACAAAGGTTAGAAAAAGAGGGGGTGAGGCTCCAGGAAGGCAGAATGCGGGGGGAAATTCGCCTGGGAAATCAGGAAAAAGGCCGTGAAGGCGAGCGGCGCCTGCACATGACCAGCCGCAGCCAATGACGACCGCAAATAGGTCATAAAAAGGTCTATTACCAAGTTGTAAATTTTCTTCAAACAAAAAGGAATTTGCTGCAATTCCTTGCGGATTTTGCACATACAGCTCGCAAGCGCCATGTTTTTTCCTCTTTCTCTCCCCGCTACCTTCTGTTCTCTCTCTCTCTGTTCCTCCTCCTTTTCCGTCCTTCCTCCTCTCCTCTTTCTTCCTCTCTGCTCCTGTCTGCTCTCTCTGCGTCTCTTGCCTCCATGGTTCCTGACTCTCACCTTTTCTAGGAAGTATTTCTTTTGCTCTTTTTTGGTTTGGCTCGAAACCTCTGCTGAATAGAGCGTTGTGTTAGAGGGGAAATGAATGCGGTGGACTGCACAGGCGCTCGGGGAGGTGATCCTGGCAGTCACCCCCCTCCGAGTCTCCTTGCGCGGGTCACTTGGCTTCTCCTCCCCTCCCCTCACAGAAAGGCCCGCTCCGGAGCGGCAGTCAGGCACTTTCGGTTTTTGGCCCTCTCATCTCCAGGCAAGCCAGCCCCAGTGATCTTGCGCAGAAAACCTGGGCTCTGCAGGCCAAGAAAGCCCGCCCTCCCCCTAACACCTCTCCAACATAAATTGGGGTCCCTTCCGTTTCTTGGGGTTTCCAGGGGTAGGAGAGTCACCAAACAGCTCAAAGCCTGGAAATGGTTTTAGGTACTTGTCAACTCCAAAATAAGAGTTTGAACTCCCAATGCTTGGCATTTATCTTGGCAGAAATATCCTCCTGGACAGTGCTGGGTTCAAGGGGAAGCAGTCTTTCTGGATCCCCTCTGAAACCTCTTGCTATGTCTCCCCTAAGTGCATTTCTTATTTCTGTGCAATTTAATTCTAGTTTCCCATTCTTCCATTGCCCCCAGAATGTTTGCCCATGGAAAAGTCTGCTCAATGCAACACTGAAGAGGAGAGGGGCTCCATTTGTTCGGGAAAAGAGCGGACCCTCAGTTTCAGCCCTGAGAAAAAAATAGTCCTTTTTCTTCAAAGGCAGGAGTCACATTCCCTTTGCACTTCTGATAGGAGCTACGCCAGAGAACACCAGCTGAAAGTAAATGTCCTTGAGGGCCCCAGCATTCTCCTCATCATTAATGCATGGGCATGATCATCCAGGCTTCAGAACCTGCCTGAAAGAGGTAACCCATCCCCCAGTCCTTTCAAGGGCACTGTCTTTGGACTTCTGGTAATGCATTTATAAATATATGCATTGGATGTCCACGGGTAGGTTTTCTGCTATGAACATCCTCACATCCAGTAAGTACCTAAGTGAACATAGACTTAAGCAGGAAACACACAGCACCGTCTGAACCAGGCCATTTGTATCCCTTGAAAAGGTTCCGATGACCTTGGATGTTTTTTATTAAAGGAATTCTGTTGCCATCTGTCAGCAAAAGTCATATTCTTTCTAGAAACTGTGCTGTAACTTTGCTGGAGGGAACCATAGCGGTATCCAAGGTCCATTAAAATGTTCTATTCCCCTGTCCACCCCCAGATGCCGGAAGAATCAGCAAACACCAGGGAAGCAGAGGACACAAGCTTGGATGTGAAATAGCAACATCTTACGCATTGAAGAATAATAAAACAATGTTTTTAATTACAAAAGAAAATGTGTAAGAATATGTGGGGCAAATTTGGGGGCCCTTCCAAGCTAGAATACTTTACACTGATCTGTACATATGGAGCTGAACAGAGATTGCTCACTTGTAAAATTATCTAAGAATTAATCTCAATTGCCAGTTTTCCTCTACCCACATAAAAGCACAGCTTTATGACCCTCCTTTTCAGCCTGGGGAAGGGGAGCTGGGAAAAAGACTTTGCAGTTTTGAAAAGGCAGCCATATTTGCACACTTTCCCCTGTGCAGAGGTAATCTAGGCGATGTGCTGGGCTGTGTGGAACCTCACAAAATGGCAGTCCCTGAACTGACTTTTCTCTAGAAACCATTGAGACCCACACCCTCTTTTGTGTGTTTCTGGTCCTCGCAAACAGAGAACCTAAATCACTTGGAAGGCTTGGTTCTTTCATTCAGTGTTAACATCGGAGGGTCCTATTTTTCTCTAAACGGTTTACAGACCTCTCTAAGCAGATTCTAAGCAATCCAGGGCCAAAAAGCATCGCCTAGATTTTCAAAGGATTCTCTGAAGGTTTATGCAAATTTCTGCAGCAAAAATGTTTGCTCGCTTCGCTGCAACCTTTGGATGTTTACAGGTTTGAGCCAATTAGGAGGTATCTTCTGTGCTCGTCACCTGGAGTCTGCATGAAACACCATGATGGGGGGTTTCTAGCCACTAAAAGAAGGTGGTGTGTGTGTGTGTGTGTGAGAGAGGGGGGGGTATAATTCCCCAAGCTCTTTATTTGAAGGCAGATCTATGATTTTCCTAGCTACAAAAAGAAACATATATACCTACATTTATTTATGACCAACACTTTCTGCTATGTGTAATCTATGTGGTATATGTGTAAGTACAAATATACCAAATATATACTTAGAATACCACTTTTGTATATGTACAAATACTCTGCAATGCACCAGGTATTACAGCAGAGTTTTTTTTCTGTACAAGAGCTACAATTTTACTATGGGTTGGGGGCGATGGGTCAAGAAGGTACACCACTTCCAGAGCAACACAGAATATAAAGGAAATAAGGACATTGCTACCTCCCCATCATTTCTTGATTTCCACATCCATTCATGCACCGGGTCCCCTGAGTCTTGCCGCACATCAGTGACTCTAAAACTGGAATTTGGGGAGCATTTTTGAGTGGGAGACAGAGAATTTTGCTAATAGAGGAATCACTTAAATGGAAGGCAGCTGGAGTTTGGCCAGCAAGAAGCTCTAGCCAGCTTGCGGCCGCCGCCACCTCCACCAACCCCCCACCGCCACCACCCCACAGGCTGTTTCCTAGCCATGCTTTCAGGCGCTTGGCATCTTTGCTCTAGAAGCCAACAGCAGAGTCTCAAGCAGCACACGGAGCAGAACGTTTCCAAATCCAGCATGCACATTTGCAGCTGTCTCCTCCCGTGCAAATGTTTCTTAAGCCGCAGGCCACCCGTGACTTAAAATGGTCTTTCCTGGCTCAGGTCAGCGAATGCCACAGCCACATCCTCTTCCCTGGTTAGAAAGCTAGGTGGTGTTTCACTTCTGGCCCCACCAGTGCCAACATTTCCCAGGTCCTTGAAGTGGCAGGCGAATAGCCCACCGATGCCTGAGGGGGCTGATTCAGGCCTAAGACAGATTCCATTTTCTTACCTGTGCAATAAAAACCATTCTGGAAATTAAAATGTACCTCTTTAAAAATAAACGCATCTAGAACAAGCAAAGACCTCTTCAATGTCTACCTGATGAGGTGCTTCCCATTTTGGGGGGAGAAGTATTAGTTTATTTGAATTTCTCCTCTTCTCCACTACCCTTCTTTCCCCTCCTCTTCCCTCATAAAATGGCAGCTGCAGGAGCAGCCTCCAATGGAAAATGGCTATCTTGTTAATAACAGATCTCAAACCCCAGCATCAGCACAGGCTCAGCGGAATAATCTGCAATGTAACCTGGACTCTGGGTCTTCCCCCACTGGGCCCACAAATTAAGTCCTTTGCGAAGTTCAAAGTTTTCACAGTATCTTTGCAAGGTTATTTAGAGCAAGATGCAGCTAGGATAGCCCAGCCAGCCCTCTCTGGAATGAAAAAGAGACCCCTCCCCTGCATTTATTTATTTATTTTTACAACGCAGTGCTTGTAACCCCCACTTTTTTTTTTCTTAAATAGAAGCTTTAGTGAAACGTTGCCTTCTAGTAGCCCAGGTGGTGGTTCCTGACTCAGGGAAAGGGTTATGTGCGGCGCTTAAAGACACTAGCTCTAGAAAAAGATTCATTTCTTTATTAAGGAGCTCGCTATGTTCTGGAGCGGTTGTTTACACTCGGATTTTTCTGCATTTGCTCTCAGGGCTTGTTTCAATAGGTGAGGCCATCCAGGAGAACAGCAGAGGACGTACCAACCGACATCTGAGACGCACACAAGTTGGCTCAAAATGGGCGTGCAAACAGAGCGAAGGGAATACAAATAAATATGGCACCTATTCAAAAAACGGAATCACAGCAGCGGCCACAGCATAGAGACCTAGCGATTTCAGGCGATACCAAGCGCAGTTCAAAACGAAAGCAAGTTGAGAAATGAGAGGCATTACACAAGGCCACTTGCCAGAGTGAAAAGTTAATGAGTGAAAATGTTATAATTGGCTTTTCAAGTATTCATTCACTTTAGATGATTAAATTGCCATAATTTGTATAGACTATAGAAAATTATTAGATGTCAACTATGACATTTTCCTGAAACTTTTGTCATTGGCCCAACACTTTCCCCAAGTTTAAGGAAGCTGCAGAGCTGGACTACACATTACACTCTTCAGCTAACATGTGCTTTAAGAATATTTGGCCCAGACTTTTCCCAGAGATAGTACATTTACAAAACACTCACAGAAACTCTTTTAGGAGTAAACAAAAGGCACCCGAACCATTCATTATAAAAGCAGAAACGGAAAACATAAATAATACGTTTTAATCAAATAACATAAAGTAAATATTCTGCAGGCATAATTTTTAAAAAAAAATTAATAGATCTCTTTTAACTTACTCACCATAAAGAAATGATATTAAGTGTTCAAGTGCACTTGTTTGATTAATAAAGCATTTTCTATTCAATTATTTAGTGCTAATCATTAGGAAGTTTATGTTGTTGAGGCAAATCACCAACTCAGACATTAAAAACTACCATTACAAAAATATAGCAACAAGGTCAGTATCAAATTACCCTTACACAGGACAGCTCAAGCACTGCGTCTATGCAATACTATAAACTTTTAACACCCAAACCCCTCTCAAAACGCAGAAACCTCAAGAGCAGTGACACGAAGGTAGCTTGAAATACAGGTAAAGTCCTCTCCAAAAAAGAAAATAGACGGTGTCCGACAGCATGTGTTGATCATTAGTTTTAATAGTCCATGGTCAAATTTTTAAAGGTAGAAGTTAATTTGTCAGGCCTTCAGCTCTGTCTTCCTCCAGCTCTTGGGCTTCCTTTTTGGTTTCCCCATCCTTTGCCTCCTGTCGGGAAACTGGGAATTTGTCCTTGTTGTTCTCTTTTTTCCATTTCATTCTCCTGTTCTGGAACCAGATTTTTACCTGTCTCTCCGTGAGGGCTAGCGCGTGGGAAACCTCAATTCTTCTCTTCCTGGTCAGATAAGGGTTAAAAAGGAATTCTTTTTCCAGCTCTAGGGTTTGGAAACGACTGTAGGTTTGTCTTCCTCTTCGTCTACCAGGAGCTGCTGAATTAAAAAAAAAAAAAAAAAGGAAAACAAGCATTTTAGAAATGTAATGGTGCCTCTGCAGGTTGCTGGAGCTTTCTGGAACGGGTCTAAGGGATGAAATATACACAAGTCTCTTCAGCTCTGATATATATATAGAATATGCAGGCAAGAGGAACAGAGAGAAAGTCTTCACAATAACTCTGTCCCCATCATCTTTACGCGGTTCCTACTTTACGAGAAAAAAAAGTATTACTTTATGAATAAGAGCCACTATAGCTACACAAGAAGGAAAAGGAAAGGGCGAGGAAAAGGTAGTTTTAAAGCTAGAACGTGAGATGAAAGCAGATTTCTCCCCCTCTCCCCGCATTAAAAAAAAAAAATTGCATCCCAACCTTGTGGTCTCATCCAGGGAAACATTTGAGAAGGAGACGAGCTCTGATTTAAGTGGTCTGGGTCCTCGCCAATATTACCACTGGACGATTTACAGTCAGGATATTGTACCAGCTCGGCCTCTTGCTGGGTCGTAAAAATCGGCTGTCTCTGTAAGTTATCGTATCCGTAAAACTTCGCGGGCTCCCCGTGACAGGCAATCCCGCCGCAGGGGGGAGGCGGAGGATGCGGAGGATGCGGAGGAGGAGGGGGGGCGGCCTGGTAGGCTGCGGCCGGGCTGCCCCCGCCGGGGTGGAAGTAGTCCTGGCCGGGGCCCGGGCCGCCCCCACCACCGCAACCCGGCCCGGCGGGCGGCGGCGACGGATGCGGGTGCGCGTGCGCCTGCGGGGGCGCGTGCGGGAAGCCAGCGGCGCTGTTGCCATAGAGCTGCAGGGCGGCGGCGGCGGCGGCGTGGCGGCTGCCGACCTCGGGCGCGAAGTGACAGTCGTAGTAAGTGGGATTGATGGCCTCGCCCGCCGCGGCCGCCGCCGCCGCCGCCGCCGCCGCCGCGGCCGCCGCCTTGTACTTGGAGTACAGCGGGTTCACGAAGTAAGAGCTCATCGGAGCTGCGACGGCGGTGGCCAGGAGCCGAGGTAGGGCGGCCCCGGGCGGGCGGTGCGGAGCAGGCAGGGAGCGCGCCTCAGCGCGGCCGCACTGCCGCGGGGGCCTCTGGGGCGGCTGCTCGCGCCGCCGGGGCCGCCGGGCTGCGTTGCTGCTGCCACCCGCCCGCCCGCGCGCGCGTCGCCTCTGAGGCCGGGCAGCCGCGGGCACTTGGCTACTGGGCGCTCATGCCCGGCTCTCGCGCCCGCCGCCTCGGCCTCGCGCCGCCTCCCTCGCGGGTCGCGGGGCCTCGCCCAGCCCCCGCGCTCACCACCCGCCCGGCCTCTCCCGGCGCGCGCCGGCTCGGCCGCAGTATAATCGCCGACGCCTCGGGTGACCTGCCCCGCTGCCTCCACTGTTTCCTCTCAGGCACCAGGCTGCCCTGAGCGCACCGGGACAAGAAAAAAAGTGCGCCCGGCCCACGGGGACACTCTTTGGCTTCGGTTTACAAACCCCCGCTCTGGAGGGAAGAGAAAAAAACACCCTCTACCCGCCACCACCTCTCACCTCGGCCCCCCCGCGGTCCCCTCCCACCGCTCTCGCCGCCGCCGCCGCCGAGGCTGCCGCCCCGGTGCGCCCCGGCGAGGCATTTTCGCACCACGCCACTGTGTGGAGAAGATGGGGGCGAGATAACCGCGCGGAGGGATCCGCGCGGAGGCGACACCGTTGCTCCCGACGGGACTCCTCACGCTGGCCGGGAGATGCCTCCGCCGGCCTTAAAGGGGGCCCATAAAGCCGCACTGCCAAGGGCTTGCCTTGCCCCCCGGGGCCCAGGGAATGTGGCTCGCGGCTGGCGTGGCGGGGGCGCGAGAGAACCTTACACTTGGGGGGAGGCAGGGAGGCCACTCCCAGGAGGCTATGGGAGCTAATGACTCCCTCTCCTGGTCCCTAGAGCAGCCCCCCAGAGGTTGGCCGTGGCTTTTGCGCTTTTGGACACGCGGGCTCAGCCCAGGGAACAAGGGCAAGTAGTGTAGACAGACCGGACCGCGTACATTTGGGTTGGGTCCTTAGTGGTTTGATTAAAGGCCACAAGGGTGATCCCAAAACTTGGCATTATCAAAGCGAATCTAGGCCCTTCTTTTCTAGGCGGGCAGGCCTTGTGGAAATGAGATGCACATTTACCCTTGACGCACTGCACGCCTGGCTGAGGCTCCCAGGTTAATTGATATTTAATGGAAATCATGCCCATGAATATAGTTTCCATCATTTCACCCTTGATAGACGTCAGCACCAGGCGCAGGGGGAAACTGAAGAATGTGGGGGCGGCGAGGGGGGGGCAGATTAGCATTGCTGGGGGAGTAAATAGAAAAGCGGACAGAAATGTTCCAAGGTGGGAAGGAGAGAACTCACGCTGGGGTGGGTGGTATTTCCTCGAGCAGGACGCGCGGCTCCCGGGTCTCAGCCCCGGGCCCGGAGCGGACCAGGGCAGGCGGTGGCCCCGGGCGGAGCACGGGGGGCCGACGCCTGCGAGTCCCCACTTCGAGCCTCAGGGCCGGTATTCGGATCGCGCCGGTTCCAGGCAGCTGAAGGCGGCGCCCATCGTCTGCTAATGATTCTAATTCGTCTGCCAAGCCTGTGAACTTACTGCTGAGAGCCGGCACTGGACTCAGCTTAGAAAGTTACTAATTTTTCCGAAATAAAGGAAAGAGAAGGGTCATCCCAGCTTGAGCGATGAGGAAGAGAAACGTCCCGAGTCATGTGGGCAAGTCGAGTGTGAATCGGCAAAATATTCCTGATGTTAGAAGCCCGCTCGCCGTTAACACCAACTGTCTTCTCCCCCTTATACCTCTTTTTTTCTCCCTCTCGACTCCCGTATTAACGTCCAATAAATGTAATAAGTCTATGTTGAGTGCGTTTTCCCTCGCCCACTCGGCCTTTTTCGTGGGCTCTTTAGATGACCGGGGCCCCCTTTCCTTAGGGATAATCCATTGTTGTGAGGGCACCAGGCCCACACCAGACTTGGGAACCGACCTCGGAAACATGCCCCAAGCCCACGGAGGGCGCTCCCGCCTAAAGCTAAAACACACCACGCCGGCATTCCACGCCAAATGCAAATATCTAAGAACCCGAGAAGGCCCCCAAAGGCGCAGCAGGCGAGTCATTTCAACTACCCCCTACTCCTTGTGGGTTGGTCCAGTCTGTGAGTATGATCCTGAGGTCAGTCCGTGTGGACTGAATCATATTTTGCAAATGGAGAAAATGAGCTCGAGATGGAAAGGCAAAACAAGATAGTGACTAATACTCTTTCAGTTGTTTCTAGGGGAATGGCTGGAAATGGTCAAGGTAAACGGATTGTTAATGAATTTCCAGATGATAAAGTAATGCTTTATTTTTTAAATTAGTAGGGAGTGGAGGACACTGGGGGCGGGGGGGGAGGCGGGTTTGTTGTTTTCTGCCGGATATCGCCAGGTAAAACTTCCTTGAGATCCGAAGGCCAACAAACCGATTCTGATAGTTAACGATTTGTTCTTAAATCTTGCAAAATCTTAATTAAAAGAGAATTATTCTCAATAAAGCCTTGGAACCAACTTTGTAATTGTGGCTTTTTTAATTTCAGTGTTTGGCGTGTGCGCTTGTGCGTATTTAAACGCTGGATCAATGAGTGGGTTTTGGAACAGAAAGGGGAAAAAGAAGAGCTAGCCCAGATCTCAATAATACAAGGCACCTTCCAGAACTGTGTGATTTCGGGGGTGGGGTGGGGCAGAAAAGAAACACAAATACTACGAAATTCATTTCTACACATTCTGGCCTAATTAAGAAAGCATTACAACACAACATTTCTTCCTCTTGGGACAAAACACTTAGTTCCCCCTCGCCCCCACCCCAAGCATTCTGTTTATAATCTGGATGGGAAAAGAGCGCGATTAACTTTGTAAATAAAGATCTATGTTTTTTTACACGTTTGTTTTGATAGAATGCATTAACTTAACCATAACATTTTATAGTTTCAGCTGTGCCATAGTCCAAATTTTCTGAAATCCTGACTAATCCAAAATTTTATACCTAACAAACACGGCTAGAAAATTTAATAGTGTACAGTGCTTCTTTTTGGTTAAGTTTATCCTAATTTAGAATTAAAAATAAGATTGTAAATATTTTAAATCAAAACCTTCCTCGCCGCAACTCCAGCTTTACGAGATCACAAAGTGGAGCAACAGCGCTCTCTAGTGGCAAAATGCCGCCTCCAGTCGACCGAGTTTAACTCCCCTTTATCGGCTCAGACCAGTTCTAATCTTGTTCTTTATTTTGACTGTGGCTTGGATCGCGGACACTATTAATGCTTCATCCCTTTGATTGTCAACAAGTCAAGTGCAGCAAGCAGGGGCTCCTGAACGCCAAAGATATTTGTACTCCCGAGAGAGCTTCCAATAGTGTCTTTTTCAAAAGCTTCCAGCCCTTCTTTTGCCAGACACAGTAGGTCCCCATTCCGTAATCGTCCACAATTACAAGAGGGGCTGGACTGAACAAAAATTACAACTTTCTAAATATCGACTACAACAGGCTTTTTTGTCAGAGGAGCCAGGCACTTTGAAAACAAAGAAATGATAGAAGTTCATTTTATTATTTTCTTTTAAAGCTGTTGCTTGGCATTAAATCCTGAATATTTGCTATTTTAACTTCTGATTTTTAATCCTTCAGGCCCATTTCGCTGGGCAATCTGGGGACAGGGGAAGGCAGAAATATAAACCAAATTAAAAGCTTTTTGCTGGACCTCTGAGCGGCTGTCTGGAAAGGCCCTGTTGGGATGTGTTTATTGGCATTTCTACACACAATAAATGAGAATTTAAATTTATATCAAAAGTCACAGAGTGAAATAAATTGACTAAGTGTTCCACTTGAGTTTTTGTTAAAGCAAAGACTTTAATCAGCTTAGGTGTTTCCTTTGAGATTAATCTTTCTTCTCAATTTCAAAAATGTTTTCTTCCAATTCAGGTGTAACGATTACATTTTCTATAAGCAATAGAAAATACAACAATACTTTTGCTGCAAAGTTTGGAATGGAGGGCCAGGTACTTTTATGAAAGGACATTTAAATAACTTCATTTTTTCCTGCCGACCCTGCGACAATTCAGCTGGGAGACCCTTGGCTTGAGTAAATGACTCAAGATCACTAACTTCTCCCACCTCCAAATAACAGGCCAATGAAAAAGAAGAAAGAAAGAAAGAAAAAAAGAAAGAAAGAAAGAAAGAAAGAAAGAAAGAAAGAAAGAAAGAGAAAGAAAGAAAGAAAAAGAAAGAAAGAAAGAAGGAAGGAAGGAAGGAAGGAAAGAGGAAGGAAGGAAGGAAGGAAGGAAGGAAGGAAGGAAGGAAGGAAGG